CGCGGCTGGCGGGGGAGAGCGGCCCGGAGGTGAGCGGCGAGCGCGGCCCGGGCGCCCGGAGCACAACTTTCGCGGCAACTTGGCCGAGCCCGGTGCCTGCGCGCGCCCGAGCGGAGCGCTGCACCGAGCCCCGCTCCTCGCCCGGGTCCTCGAGGCGGTAGAGCGGAGGGTCGCCGGCGAGAGTCGGGGGCCTGCACCGTGGCCCCGCCCGGGCCTCAGTTTCCCGACCTGGAAGGGGAGGCGGAAGGCCAGAGTGCCCCCCTAGCCCAGCCTGGCGTCAGCAGCTGCGCTCCCTTCTGGGACGCGCCGAGGGCTTCCCGGGCGGCCCCGCTCGGCCAGGTGGCGGTGGGGTCGCGGAGGCTCGGGGCGGGGAGCGGCGCACGCTGCAGAGGTGCCCCGCGGCCGGAGCAGTTCTGGAGCGTGGCGAAGGGCCGGTGCAGACGAGGTCCGTCCAGCGGAGACAGCAGCGCGACCGACGGAAGAGGCAGGCTTGGACGGCAGCAGTACGAGGGGCTCGGGAAGAGGCGGTCTGCGAGCCCAGGGGCCCAACGGGAAGCCTAGTGGTTAGAGCCCCGCCGTGGCCAGGAAATGAAGTTCTACAGGAAAGAGAAATGGCAGTCTTCAGAGTGGAGGGGGCTGCAGAATCCACCGAGCCCCTGACCCTGGAGTCAGGGAATGGGCCCATGGGTTGATCTGGGACGTGCTGGGGTTTTGTGAGGGCTTTGGGCAGCAAGGAGTGTCTGGGTGGTGAAGACACAAAGGTAGGGATGCAACAGGCTGGGGCGTCCTGGCTGGGTCACGAAACACTCTGCCCTGTCTTGAGGCTCATGAGGTGAGTAGTGAAGGGGCCTCGGGTGTGGCGTCTTCTGCAGGTACGCTCGGGTAATTCAGAGCACTGCTCCTGGGAAGGCCTCCGGACTCAGGACAGACCCTCGGAGGCTCCCCTGCCCAAGGTGTGGCCTGACACGTCCCAGCATCTTGAGTCTGTAAGTGTCATTTATAAAAAGGAGATTTTAAAAACCAAAAAAATCTCGGAGAGGGTAACTAAGTAGTTTGTTCCATCTCCGCAGACCCACACAGCTTGTTTTTCTCTGCCCCGGAAACTTAAGAACTTTAAAATACTTTATTTGGGGAAAAGAAATCTTAAATAATTAGTTGTCCAGTGACTAAAAACGATGACTCCATTCTCATTGAATATTTGCAGTTCTTTTAATTCCGGTTTTTGTCTCAAATATTTACGTATTTCCCCCTCACTAGAAAGAGTTGAATTTCACAGCTCCTAGAGTTGGAGATCAACTACTATTACTGGTACCCCAGCTAACAGATGAACTGGGTAGGGGGGTTCCCTACTCAGATGTGGAGAATAACCAACGAGAAAGGCTTGTAGAGTACATAGATTGCAGCTGACTAGGAACCAACTATCTTCCGATTACTTACATAAATGCCTATAATTGAAACTTTCGTCTTTGTGTGTTAGGACAGCTTGTTTGCTTATTTATAGTGATTCAAAACTCCCTATTATAAGAGACAAGCAAAAGGGGGTGTCAGACATAGTTGGTTTCATTCCTCTCTTAAAGGTTATTAAAACTCGTACAGTGTTTTAGCATGGGTACTCTAGTGGGCAGCAGACAAAGCCTTATCAGAGGTATCTTCTGGTGCATTTTCTGCTGCTCTGCAGGGCCACTTTGAAAGTGTTTTTCCATGAAACAACTGCACTCTGCTGTACTTTGATGTTTTCCATCCCGCTGGTATTCTGTAAACAGTGGTGCTGCAGAAGAAGATCTTCACCAAAGGACTGTCTCCATTTATGATTTGCAACACCCAGGGCTCCTTATCTTGAGATTCCCTTCTCTTCAGATTTGGAGTTCCTCTTCTTATGACAGAGAAGGTCTGAGTGGGGAGACCTTTGAAGAGTGCAGGGATGGCCTCCCAAGGCAAAACCAGGAATTGCTCCTGCCTGGCCAAGCTGAGAGGATGTTTTCTCTCACGTTCCCCTACCTCATTCCTCCCAGCACCTGGGTGGATCGGAGTTCTTGGATGATGTGGACTCAGCCTAGCAAGTCAACAGTTTATGTTTAACTGAGGTCAGAAGTTTGGAGAGGGGCTGGAAAGATGGCTCAGTAGAATAGGGCCTGAGTTCAATTCCCTGGTTCTGCCAAAAAAGAAAAAAGCGTTTGGAGAAACTCATAATAGGTGGATGAGCTTTTCCTCAGGAGTTTAAAGGTAGTTTTGAAGACTTCTCCCCACACACATCAGGGATAGAACTTAGAACCTTGCACTTGCCAGGCAGGCAGTTGGGCTACTGAACAATCTCCCCTGCCCTGACAAGACTTCTTAATCTCACTTTGCATGTAGGAAAACTAAAGCCCAGAGAAGCAGAAGAGCTTCTTCGTGGTCACACAGAGGGCTTGGAGCACACCTGAAAATGTATGTTAGTCTGAGAGTCCATGAACTATTCAGTCTTCATCTTGGGAATTCAGGACAAAAACATTTCTGTCTGTGTCACTGCCCCTTCAGAGGTTATCATGATGGTAACCTTAACCTTTTGAATCCGTAAGACCTCAGTAGAGATGTCTTTTGCTTTACTGATAGTGATCATCAATATGGCCAACTTTCTAGGTATTGTGAAGAGTTGGGTGAGAAAATGAAACCTATTTATTGGAAGGCTGGGACAAAACGAGCAGGGAGGTAATATCTGAAAAGTCCTATCTGCATCTTCAGGTACATCAAGAATGATTTGGTGGAGGGTTTGCCTGGCAAGTGCAAGGTCCTGAGTTCAGTCCCTGACACACACACAAAAGGTTTGGTGGTGAGGTGGTGTTCCTTCCACAGCTTCTAGTTTTTGGTATTAACGGAAAGTGTCTTGCCTTAGTTCTGCTACTTTACCCTTCTGGCTTCAGATTCCTCATTGGTAAAGCACCCCAACTTTCCTGACAGTGAGCTCCAGCTCCCCTGCACTTACTTTCTTTTTTCTTTTTTTTCCAGACCCAGGGATTGAACTCAGGCCCTTGTGCTTGCCAGGCAAGTGCTTATTCTACTGAGACATCTCCTTGGCCCCTCCCCCTGCACTTTCTTTGTCCCTGAATCCTGGGCCCTCTCAGAACTCTCCCCACAAGCACATACTGTTGCCCTAGAATGCATTTCCTCCCCTGGCAAGCTCCCTCCTTTCCTGACTCAACACCAAGACACACTCTGCACCTCATTCATAAGGACAGAAAGGTCTTGTCTAGTAGAGATAGTTGTGTGACATAAGCATACTGGGAAAAAAAAACACTGAAATTTACATTTCATTTACTTTTTATTAAATTTCTGGGAGTTTTTTAAAGACTGGGAGATAATCTCAGGCTCTACCATTGGGCGATGGCATTTGAATTATACCTCAAGTTTTCAGATTATATCAGAAGAAAGATTCTAGAATAACATCGTGTAGATTTACCCTTTGAATTGCCTTCTGCCAATATGAAATCTGATCCATAGCAGGGCCTTGGGTAGTTTTATTTTTATTTTTTGGTTTATTTATTTTTTTAATTTGGGTTTTGTTTTGGTCTTTTTGAAACAGGTTCTCGCTATGCAGTCAGGCTGGCCTTGAGCTCACTTTGTAGCCCAGGCTGATCTCGAACTCACAGTGACCCTCCTGGCTCAGTCTCCGGAGTGCTGGGATCGGGGTGGTAGTTTTTAAATATACAACAGCCACCTAGAAACTCAGATGGAGTGAAGGGATACGTGATGGTACCCATCTCGCCCAGTGCTTCACATGTAGCAGGGGAATCATTTCTCCCCTTGTTTGGATTAATCTATGTGCGCCATTTACACTGTGTGTGGCAAAAGGACACAGCGTGAAGAAGCTTTTTTTTTTTTTTTTTTTCTCAGATAACAAACACCAGCGTCTTGATCTCACACAGTTTATGGTCAGTGAGGGAGGCAGGTGGATACTCAGGTATGCTTTATGCTGTATGCTTTGTAGGTGCCACAGTAGATGTGAGCAGATTTCGTTCAGCCTGTGTTTGGAAGGATCATCTAAGAGGAACTGAAGTTGGAAGCGAGTACTCAAAGGATAAGTAGGGGCTGGGGATGTGGCTCAGTGGGGGAGCCCTTGCCTTCATGCACAAAGCCCTGGGTTCGATCCCCAGCACCACAAAAATAAATAATAAAGATGAGAGTAAATCACCAAATTAAAAATAAAGAATAAGTAGCAATCTGCAGATAGGAGAAGGCATGGGAGGAACAAGCTCCTGGGCAAAAACAACAGCACACGCAGAGGCACAGAGGTGTGCGTAATAAAGCGTCAAAGTCAACAGGCAGAAATAAATTTGAAGGAAAAAAGGAGAATAATGCAGAACAAAAGCCAGTTCCCAGAATCAAAGATATGGATCTGCAGATGGAAAGAGTACCTAGAAGTCCCTGTACAGTGAGTGACAGTGTCCAGAGCGGGGTACACCACTGTGAAACTTGGAACCCAAGTGATAAAAACGTCTTGGGTACAGCACATCACGTACATTCAGAGAACGGGAATTTTTTTTTCCTGTTGGGCCTTCATCCTCGATCCCCTTC